TAGCTAGCATTCTGTTCATTTTAGCTAGGGTCAGCTTCCTTTTAGCTCATGTTTTGTTTCTGTTACCTAGCACTTTGTTCATTTTAGCTAGGGTCAGCTTCCTTTTAGCTCATGTTTTGTTTCTGTTACCTAGCATTTTGTTCGTTTCAGCTCGGGTCAGCTTCCTTTTAGCTCATGTTTTGTTATTTTAGCTAGCATTCTGTTCAATTTAGCTAAGATCAGCTTCCTTTTACCTCATGTTTTGTTCAATTTAGCTAGCATTCTGTTCATTTTTAGCTAAAATCAACATCCTTTTAGCTCATGTTTTGTTTCATTTAGCAAGCATTCTGTTCACTTTAGCTAGGATCAATTCCTTTTAGCTCATGTTTTGTTCCTTTTAGCTAGCATTCTGTTCATTTTAGCTAAGAACAGCATCCTTTCAGCTCATTTTTTTTCTTTTAGCTAACATTCTGTTCATTATAGCTAGGATCAGCTTCCTTTTAGCTTATGTTTTGTTCCTTTTAGCTAACATTCTGCTCTTAAGTTTTAACAACTTAGCTTCAGCTTCTTCCACAGATGTCAGCGGACATTCAGCTCTCGACATTCTCTGCAGTTTTCGTTTCTACTTTGGTTTATAGTAAACAACAATGAGCCGAAACTCTCCAGTCCAGTTGGCCTGTTCAGTTTCCTCCTCAAACATTGTCGCTCTTTAGGTTGTTGTTCAATAAACAAACGTTTGTTTCCGTTCGTGAAAACAACCGGAGTGCGTCAGATTTGTTGTCGGTGCAGGATGTCGTGTCTTACCTCGTGTTTTAGCTTCGCGACCGTCTGCATGGTGTCGCTGTCGTCACGCACCGCTGAAAACACAACAAATACAAAATAAAACATTTATTTTCTCTGTTTGTTGATGTGAGCGTTCAGGGTTTGTTTACTTGAGGCGGCTGAATCTGGGCTGGGACAAAACTCGAACCTCTGAGCCGAGCTGCCGTGGGTCTCTGTCTCGATCCCGTCCACAAACCTGGACAAAATCAAACTACATGAAAAAACGTCTGTGTTTAGTTATTGAGTTAAAAAGGACTTCATTTCAGGACATTTAACTATCTGGACATGAGCTGGTCCTGCACGTGTCTATGTGCATGTGTGGCTGTTAGCAAAATATCTCCTGAGTACCTGGACCATAGAAACTACACCTGGACCATAGAAACTAAACCTGGACCACAGAAACTAAACCTGGACCATAGAAACTAAACCTGGACCACAGAAACTAAACCTGGACCATAGAAACTAAACCTGGACCATAGAAACTACGACTGCACAAAAAAAACCTACACAAGGGCAACCCTAATTGTCTTTTAGCAAAATATCTCACCAACACCTGGAGACATTTTAATGAAACTCCCAGAAAAGAATCGGCGGGCGAGCACTTACAACTCTAATTTTTGGAGTCAGTCCAGTTCAAGATGGCCGCCGCAGCTACTGAAACTTTAAATTTCTTTGGCTGCAGTAAGAGCAAACCTCCACACGGTGGCAGCAAAGCACAACAGATCCTGACGTTACTCCTGAACATGGTTACAGGTATCCATCAGGTGTTACATGACAAATACAGAAGAGTTCATGAAGCAGAGTTTCTGATCAGACGTCTACTCGGCCAGATGATGAATAAGATCTACTCAGCCAGATGATGAATAAGATCTACTCAGCCAGATGATGAATAAGATCTACTCTGCCAGATGATGAAGATCTACTCAGCCAGATGATGAAGATCTTTCTGCTGGAGGCAGAACTGTGTGAACTTTATGACAAAGTCACAGTTAAACTGGGCCTTGAGTAAGACACAGTTTGATGAAATGAGACCAGCGAGCTGCAGTTTGGTTGAACGTCGTGATCACATCTGATGGTGTTTCTCATTTTCACGGCTTCTAAGAGCACCGCTTCAGCAGCGCTCCTGGAAACCTTCTTGTGACGCCTCAGTTGGTGGGTCCACGTTTGTGTTCGACCATCAGGCTGGAATCATTCAGGCGCATTACTTAAGAGTCTCATCAGTTTCTGAAGAGAGGCCTGGAACGCAGATGAGACCTTTCACCCACGTCTGCCGTGAGAGGGATCTGAACAGCTTCGGCTGAAACTCCAGATCCAGGGAATAGGTAGAAAACCTTTTTACCGGGTCAGATCGTGGCAACAGAAAACCTCTAAGAAGCTTTTTTTGGTACCATTTGAGGTTTTAGCACAGCGACTGCTTGTCTGAGGCTTTCTTTTCAGTCAGAGTTTCTTTCTGTCTTTTATTAAGAGTGCTGTCAGGGAGTGAAAGACGTGGTTACCATGGTGACCTGGTTGAACTTTTTGTTTTCATCTTCAAGGGAAATCCATCTGTCCGTTTTCTTTACCCACTAAATATTAAAATAAACAAAATTGTAAGTTTAAAGCTGAACTTATAGGTAACTTAGAAAAACATCAGCTAAAAGCTAATTGAAGCTAAACTGCGGCTATTAGTTAAAATGAACAAGATCTTTGCTAAAACAGAAATTTCAAACAGTCACTAGAAGCTAAAAGAAGCAAAGCAGTTGATAAAAGCTAAAGAAAAAAAAAGAAGCACAACAGTATCTAAAGGTTTGGAATCAGCTAAAGTGTTGCTAAAAGCTGAAATTAGCAGAACAGGAAGAGCTCGACTCAGATCTGGCAGGGAGCTATTTACCACCTGAAGCCTTGTTTTAGTTGCTCCTTCACTAAAACCGGGTCTTGTTCAGAACACGACACGGTGCATCGGCGTGTCAGAGAGCTTTTGCAGCTGAAGGCGTCCTTACAGACAGAGATCCTCTGGCTGTCAGCAGGTCAAAGGTCACTCAGCGCCGGCAGAGGACCGACCGCAGGAGAGGAGCTGCATGACAATCAGCAGCAGCCGAGATTCGGCCTAAATTATTCAGGGAGCTGCCGGGAGCTCGGCTCCTCTGAACTGAGCTCGTTCAAAGAGAAGCGAAGGTCCGAACCCTTTAGAGTCTACGATGAAAGCAGCAGAAGATCAGCCGAAGAGCAGTTTGGTGATTGATCGATTCACAGCAGGTTCCAGAGCGGCGTCATTTATTCAACCAGCCACTTGTAGAACCTCCCTCAGTGGGTTTAGTCTCTCTCGTGGTTGTGGAGTTCTGGTCCACTCTTCTTTACAACGTTTCAGCTCATTGAGTCTCTTAGAGCATTTTAACCAGACTGAAGTTCTGTGGCTGAGTGGTTAGAGGAGTCATCCTCCAGTGGGAGAGTTGGGGGTTCAATTCCAGCAGTAGTCACATGTTGAAGTGTCCCTGGGCAAGACACTGAACTCCTCACTGCCTCTCATGTGTGTCCCATCAGTGTATGAATGATTAGCCTCTACAGATTCTGATTATCTTTGTAGTAGAGTGCTGTATGAAGTCACCACCAGATGAAGAGCTTCTCAGCGTGACCTCAGCAGAAGTAAGGAGGACCTTCAGGAGGATTAATCCTCACAAAGCAACTGGTCCAGACAACATCCCCAGAAAGGTGTTGAAAGACTATCAATCAGCTCTGCGAGGTGCTGGCAGACATCTTTAACTCCTGACTCACCCTGGAGACAGTTCCCACCTGTCTGAAGACTGCCACCATCATCCCAGTCCCAAAAAGCTCTACAGTGTCTGGTCTGAATGACTATCGGCCAGTAGCCCTCACCCCGATAGTCGCTAAATGCTTCGAAAAACTGGTCATGACTCACATCAAAACAATCAATATCAACGAGGACCCTCACCAGTACACATACCATGAGAACCGATCAACAGAGGACACCATCTCCTCTGTGGTCCACACTGCTCTCTTCCACCTGGAGCAGAAGAACTCCTACGTCCGTATGCTCTTTGTGGACTTCACAACTGCCTTCAACACCATGATCCCCCAAACCCTGATGGACAAACTACTCACACTAGGACTAAGCCCCTCCATTTGCAACTGGGTCCTGGACTTCTTAACAAACAGACCACAGTTAGTGAGGATCCACGACTTACATTTTATTGTGGGATGTAACTGGGACCCTGCGTACATAATCTCGTTCCACCACATGTTTCAATGTTGCTGCTGATCTGTTTCAATGTTGCTGCTGATCTGTTTCATGTTGCTGCTGATCTGTTTCATGCTGCTGCTCATCTGTTTCATGTGGCTGCTCATCTGTTTAATGTTGCTGCTGATCGGTTTTATGTTGCTGCTGATCGGTTTCATGCTGCTGCTGATCTGTTTCATGTTGCTGATGATCTGTTTCATGCTGCTGCTGATCTGTTTCATGTTGCTGCTGATCTGTTTCATGCTGTGCTGATCTGTTTAATGCTGATCTGTTTCATGTTGCTGCTGATCTGTTTCATGCTGCTGCTGATCTGTTTCATGCTGATCTGTTTCATGCTGCTGCTGATCTGTTTCGTGTTGCTGCTGTTCTGTTTCATGCTGCTGCTGATCTGTTTCATGCTGATCTGTTTCATGCTGCTGCTGATCTGTTTCATGTTGCTGCTGATCTGTTTCGTGTTGCTGCTGATCTGTTTCGTGTTGCTGCTGATCTGTTTCATGTTGAGGTGTTCATTCGTGCTCATCTGCTCACAAAGACTTGTTTGTGCTGATGTTCGACCTAATGGTTTTATGTTATTAGTGCTTAGTGTATTTAGTTGTTTTTCTTGGTTCATATCTTAGATGTTATTACTGTTTTTTCTTTTACATTTTATTGTTTGATGTAACTGGGACCCTGAGTACATATCGTTCCACCACATGTACCACATGGGGTGTGTTTGACAAAGAATCTCTGACTCTGACTCTGAGTTTGTGATGAATCAGAACTTCCTGTCAGGTGAGTTAACCCCGCCCCTCCAGGTGAGTGGGTGGCTCCCTACCGAGGACTGAGGTCTGGCTGCGGGCAACTGAAGTTCACCACGGGGATCTGCAGGCTGGTGGGTCGGCTCTGATCGCTCATCGATCTGAAGGGCCTGGGTGGCAGCAGCGGCGAGCGCAGGGGGGAACGCAGGGGGGAACGCAGGGGGGAACGCAGACCTCGGGCCAACCTGCCTGAATGGGGCACCGCAGGGAGAGGAGAGCGCTCACCCTCGGAGCCCGATCCCTCCTCGTCTTCCCGGATGGCGGCGAGCTTCTTTATGATTCCTCCGTTGCTCTCGCAGTCGGCCTGATGAGGAGAAAACAGCAGTGGGTTGTTTATTTTACAGCACAGTTCTGAGACAAACAAACAACAACAAGAACAATAAAACCAGATTTATGATTTAAAACCTTCATGTCAGAGTTCAGACTACATCAAAAGTGATGGATTTGTTTCAAGTGGTGGCTCCTGAGCAAAAACCAAAGTTTACAAACTGTCTCAAATCTTCTGTGAAAAAACATGCTAGATGTTGCTTAATATTTCATTTATTGTTGTTTGTTTTTGTGCTCGAAATGGTCTCTCCCAGAAAATTTTAAATAAAGTAGATGCCAGTTCCTGCATTCTGGTGTATTTTAACAGGTTGGTGAACATCTACGATTAGTACATAAATAAATACTTGATTAAGTAACTATTTTAGAGAGCAACAAGAAGTAGCCTGACCAACAGCTCTCCTTGTGTGAATAGAGCACACGCCGCTTCTCTCACGCATCCTAACTATACCCCCCAACCTGGACAACAACTGCCGGCATTAACGTGGCGCTAAGTTAGCACACAACCCAGAGGTGTCTCCCCCTCCTCCCTCTGCCCCGTCCACAAAACCCAGAAGAGATGAGCACCCTGCCAAAGCAAGTGACCTCGAGAAAACACTGCATGCAGTGTGGTGAGATGTTGTAGGTAACCAGGAAAACCCGGAGTGGACTTGTAGTGGTTTGAGTATTCTCCTATTAATCAAGTGGAAGGGATTTGTTCTAGCAGAAATAGAAACAGCATTGGGTGAACTAATGGGGGTGGGGGGGTCCCAAAATAATATTTTTAAATGCCCTGAACTTATCACAGCCGCACACACATTCACCACAGAACCGCTTCAATAAGGTCTTATCATAGTAATAAAAATGTCCTGGGTTTAGTCTCTCCTCTCTCTGCTCCAACTGGATTGAAACAGAATATCTCCACTGTCAGACTCAGCAGGTTTCACTGCAGCTCAGCGCTCATGTCAGGTCAAGTGTTAGCGGTCGTACTACAGAGCTAAAACCAGCTGAATGTGTCCACAGGACAGAAAGTCTGACGCCTCAGTGAGACTGTATTGGAATCACTGGTGATGAACGCAGGTTGTGAACGGTACAACCCCGTGACAGTAAAGAAAGTAAAAAAAATTGAGAATAAATCACTAAAATAATTTTAAATTCCATTCAAAATGGTGAAAATATTTGAAAAATACACAGAAGAAAACAATACAAAGCAAGCTCAGTAAATAAGTCATTTACATGATTTATCAGGAGGAACTACTTTGTGGAGCGAATTCGTTTTTTAGCTGGGGCTGCGCTCTACCTGCCTCTATGGACCGGCTGCCACTTGTTGTTTAAATCACACCTGAAAATAACGTTATGTCTCGCCCAGAGGATGACTCTCTGCTACTACCACAGCAAATTGAAACCCAACATCTGTAACGTTAGCCGAGTTGCAGCTGTTTATTTGTGTGTTTTAGGATCAGCTGTCTGTGGCAGACATTTTGACATTTGTCTCTTGCCTGCATTTATAAAGAAAACAAACTTTAAAAATGTAATAATATACAGAAAAAAAAGCTATCTGCATAAAACTGGTGAAACAAACTTGAAATATTAAATTTGACACGAGACTATTTATGATGAAGTGACTTCTGAAAATCTACTTTTATCTGCACAGAGTGGATTATTTTAAGCAAACTAAACCTTTCACACAAACTAAGAACATTTATATTTGGTTGATTATTTGTTTGTGGTAAAAACGTTGATGGAAAGTCTCTTTATTGTCCCCCGTCACAAAGCAAAGACGGGAATTGGAAATACCTTCCACCTGTATTATGAGCATAACGTGAAGGTGCTGACTTCCATTTTGGAACACAACAATTATATGTGAAGGGGACGTGGCCCCCCTCACATAAAAAAAAAAATCATTTGGACACCCCCACATTTACCATGTAATGTTAGTTCAGCGCTGTTTCTATTTCTTCATGAATGAATCCATTCCACTCGATTCATAGGAGAATACTCAAACCACTAAAAGTCCACTCCGGGTTTTCCTGATTACCTACAACAAGTCACCACCCAGCATGCAGTGTTTCCTCGAGGTCACTTGGCTTGGCAGGGCGCTCATCTCTGGGGGGGTTGTCAACGAGGCTGGGGAGGAGGGGGAGACACCTCTGTGTTGCTTGCTAGCTTAGTGCCACATTTGAGTTGGCAGTTGTTGACTGGGGTGGGGGATGGGCATAAGAGAAGCGGAGTGCTACGTTTGTAGCATCTAAGCTAGCGCATCTGTATTGCATGCTGCTACATTAGTGCCAGTAGTTATTGACGAGGTTGGGGGGGACAGGATGTGTGAGAAAAGCAGAGCGTGCTCTATTCACACAAGGAGAGCTGTCGGTCAGGCTACTCCTTGTTGCTCTCTAAAATAGTTAATGAATCAAGTAATTACTTATGTAGGTAAATGTAGATGCTGAAAAATGGCATCTACTTTATTCAAATTTTTCTCAGAGAGGGTGATTGACGTCTGAAGGAACAAGACAGATTGGCAGGTAGCATGTGGAAGAACCTTACACAGCCACAACAAGCAGGCTCCTCCTCCTCGCGCTGCTCACCAGCTCGGTCCACACTGCTTTGGGACAGCAGCTCATTCTTCTTGCAGTAAGTCAAGATAACGTGGTTGTGGCACCGTTTATTACCGTAAAGAAACGATTCTTACCGAGGAGGAAATTGAGTCAAACTGCCAGAGAGCTGAAGAACACGGAGCGAGCAGCGTGAGCCACACTGCAGGGATTCAAACCTCTGACAGCAGCCAACGTTCAACGTCGTTTTGTCACGTCAGCCTCTTGAAATCACAGCTTGTTGATCTACAAGTACCCCCCCCCCCCCGCCCCGTGTGATTAGTGGAGTGCAGGCAGCCGAGTTGGAGAGCGGCGGCGCTCCACCATCTGCAGGCTCCTCCGAAGCTCTGCCAAGTGTCGTCAGCGTTGCCAGATCGGGACAAACTCGGCTGTTTACTGAGGAGCGTTCAGCTCGTTGTCGCTCTCAGCCTTCGCCCAGTCGGCTCGAGTTCTGTCGGACCCGGCTCTGAGCTGGATCCGCTCCAGTACTCGCCCACAACACCAGCGGAGCTCACATTCTCGTCACGCTACAAACGACGTCCAGCAGGTAAAGAATCAATCACGAGTCCAAACAGGGATGCTGACGGTGCGTTCAAGCACCCCCTCCTCAGTTTGACCTGCTGCTCTCGGCGCTGCGCAGACAAACAAACGCAGCTCTGCAGCTAACGTGGACTTTCCATGTCTGAAGAGCAGCTGCTGCTTTTAGTCAGCTTCATGAAGAGTGCTGCCAGGGAGGAAACACATGTGCTGTTACCATGGTGACCAGGATGCTACTGGTTTAACTGGTGCAGTTGGTTTAACTTTTATTTTCATCTTCTTTCACTTCACACATTTTATATGAAAAGAAATCCATCCATCATCCAACCATCAATCCATCCACCCGTCCAATATCCATTCATCAACCATCCAACCATTATCCATCCAACCATCATCCATCCATTATGCAGTCATCATCCACCCATTATCCATCCATCATCCATGATCTATCAACCATCATCCATAATCCATCTGTCTATCATCCATCTATTAGTTATCCATCATCCATCCATCCAACCATCATTCAACCACCATCCATCCATGATCCAACCATTCTCCCATCCATTATTAATTCATCCTCCAACCATCATCCATCCATCATTATCCATTCATCATCCATTATCATTCATCATCTGTCCATCATCCATCCAACCATCATCCATCTATCCATTCATCCAACCACCATCCACCCATCATCCAACCATCCATCCATTATCCATTCATCATCCATCCATTATCCAACATTATACAACAACCTCCATCCATCATCCAAATATCATCTGCCCATCCATCCATTATCCATTCATCATCCATCCATTTTTACTAAATGCTAAAATTAGCAAATAACTATGAAAATAATAGATTAGAAAAAAAAGTTGCTTTAAAATGAAACGAGATAAAATTATTCATATCTAAAAGTACCATAAGAAGGTTTATTTGCCTAATGTTCAGCTTGTGCTTCTGTGTTTGTGTTCGGAGCTGATGTCCGTGCTGCCTTCACTTCCCTCTCCTGTCGGACGGGGCAGCGTCCGTGCTGCCTTCACTTCCCTCTCCTGTCGGACGGGGCAGCTGTTGAGTTGCTCCATTCACGAGCCGACGTTCATTCAGCAGAGGAGCATCCTCATTCACAACCGAACCCTCACTCAAAAATCAAACCAGCTTATCACCTGAAAACATCCGCTCCAGGTGATAGCCCGTTCCCGTCAGGTTTTGGGGGGTTGTTTTCTGCACGTTTTCTCCCAAAGCTGATTAAAATCCAGCCCCGGTTCTTCCCTCCCCCTCTCTTTGTTGTCTCCATCCAGTCTTGTGTTTTTTTGGGCTCACATGGCTCGGCTGGTATTTTTAGCTCACAGAGGTTTAATTTTAGCTGAGGTTTTGCCAGGAGGGAACCGAGCTGAGAGGATGTGAGCGTGTGTGTTCACGAGCGCGCCACGTGCCGTCTTGAAAAACCAACAACTGTGAGGCGTCACACACACACACAAAGACCTGCTGGTGTGTGTGACGCCTCCAGCCTCCTATGGAGCTCCTGAAGCTGCAGATGTGGACCTGAAGCTGCAGATGTGGACCTGAAGCTGCAGATGTGGACCTGAAGCTGCAGATGTGGACCTGAAGCTGCAGATGTGGACTCGGCTTCGGTTCGGTTCAGGGATCACGAGAAGATGAAGGGCTGCGTGTTTGTGAGTCGGCACGTGGATGCAGATACGAGCGAGGTCCTTCCCTTCATCCTGATGTTCGCTGCCTCCATCTGCTTGCTGTTCTATATTTATCCACTCAGGGACGACCCTGTCCCTCCCCCACCCTCCTCGCCGGCCTATTTTTAGCCTCCCCCTGCGGTCGGGTGAGGATGCTCTGCAGCTTTTTGCTGCATGCGTGC